GTCGCTAGGGTAGATTTTGCCCACATAGGGTTCGATATCAGTTAGAAGAAGCAATCAACCAGTGGTCTCCATACGTCCTATTCCAGCTTTTTTCATTAGCGGGTGGGGGGCGGAGTTAAGTATTTGGAAAGCGGTTCGAACCAGGGCATTGTTGAGTTTCCCGATAAGGAACTGTGAATGACGCGTAGCTTCGACGACCCCGAATATCAAGAGGAAGGATCGGGCTAGAAATTCGACGGTATTACTTACACAAGATTAGGCAACTTCATACAATGCCTTCGTAGAGTCAACAGTTGCACCAGTCTGTCACTGACCGACACAGTGCAGCGACAACCTCCGCAAGCCAGACAATGTGAACGGAATGCTGGCTCAGTGGTGTGGGTTGTGGTCGTCCTTCCGATGACAGTCTCGTGATTCTGGTTGGCGGTGCGGTCACACAGAACCAATGATAGGACAAGTTAGGGCAGGCTGAGCAAACGGCACGCAATCGCCCATGGGCAGGTAGGTCAGTTGCGCACATTCACACGCGGACACATGTCGACACATTGTCGGACGGGACGGCAATGTGATTGGAGGGTTCTGATGAGCAAAACAGGCAGAGCGTGAAGAGTTGAGGGGAAGTTATCAAGAGGTTAAGTTAGATTCGATAGGCATGATGAACTAATTCTATTATTTTTTTTAGCGAAATACACTCATTTGCATACCAATTTAAGGAGACTTACCTGGAACCCAGCTGAATCTCTCGTTTATGCTGTCTTTGGGACTATCTGATGAGCCCCCTGTAGGGCGAAACCGATCTGGGCCGTCGAAGGGTTTCCAGCATGGGTAGTCTAAGATTTCTTGTTTGAAAAAAGTGTTTTTCATGGTGTTTCTGAACCGTTTTACACGGTCTAGAGTAAGAAACAAGTGGTAAACTATGATCTTCACCATAGAAGTAAAGGCAGAATGATTCCAGGAACAAGGAAATCACCGTTCTGATTGGACATTACAAACAACATACCTGAAGTATATAGATGGATCAGCTGGCTTATACCTGAAGCATATAGATGGATCAGCTGGCAGAAAACGTGTTTATCGGAAATCGGCTTCTCCTTTTGATAAAAAGAGCAAAACTCGCAGTTTTTGGAATCACCAAGGCGGAGATTCCAAGTATAAGTATCTCTGTCACAGCTCTCACTGGCCGGAAGCACTGCACAAAATTCGGCGAAATTATTAGTCTGTTGAAATCCCTTTATATACTTATTGGAAACTAGGGGCGTAATTATAATCTTGCTACTTGGTCGTTGGCTTATTCGCACTCAAATTGTCCAACTCAGCGAACAAGCCAACGACCATCTACCATTTCCCCCATAGAAAACCTTGCTAGTTGAATACATCTATGACCCGTACACCCTCGTCGCGCCACGCTAACTAGTTACCAGACACCTCAGACACGTGCTGGGCAATCAATAGGTTTTCACATAAGTCGAATAAGTTTACCATCGAATCATAAATGTTTTGCGGCTACTATCAAACATCGTATTTCTTGAGGTCACTGCAAAGGCATCTGCTCCCTTCAAAAGTCGCAGAAAAATTTTTCAAAGATGAATCTGGCGCACAGACTACTGATGAGACGATGTTCTCTTATAAACAGTCTACCTTTACGATGGCCTTGAATGATATTACTCTTTATACTGTTGTGAAAATTAAGCTGGACTGCCCAAGCATGCTCACGGATGATCTTGCAAACGCCAGTCATGTTATCCCACGACGTCTTTGTATGTGTATGGTTACCCTCCCCAAAGAATCGATCATCATGAACACAATCGGGCTCACCTTGAAGATACACGCAGGGGAGGGGAGGTCAATTAGAAAACTATTAGTGCACAAGTTATTGTAGCCATAATATAATTCAGAAGGTATATGCACAAATAAAAGTTTTTGCTATGGTTGACAGTGGTGAGTTCCTTGCCTGTTAGTGATAGGCTCAAAACAAACTTTTCTCTATGGTACTCTTCAACCGAATATATGTTCCGGTTGACACGATAGTTGAGATACTGACGTTTTGTTACCCTTCTGGAACACATAACATGATATCTGGGGTCCAACTGAGTCACTCGTTAACACCAAATATATATTCCATCACTTGCGTACAACTTGGTGTTCATGTAGAACATAAGGTCGATGGAGCTTGTGGGGATTCGCCTACCTGAAGAAGTCCAAAAAGGACGAAACCGGTAGTGGGCTATCGAGGAGCTTTCAGCGACCTTATGAGTAGTATCTTCTACCAGGAAAATCTTCTATCCACTTATTCCAAGTTATTTGTGAAATGAGGATTGTGCTTGGATGATTTACCTTACCCCCACCTGAACAAAACGAAGAATGGAGTTCACGTCGAGAAAAAACACAAACATGTGTTAAAACTTTAAGTTCAGAGCTTTCAATGCTGGATATAACGGGCGTATATAAGGATATCCTCAAGTGTTGATTTTCGTGAGCCCCTGTAACAGTGAAGCTTGAGGACTGGTCTAAATGGTTCTTTCTAGACTTCATTCTGAGTTTTCAGCTTATGCAGATTCGTCAAGTTGACAAGTCCGTCTTTGATTGTTGTGGTGCGCAGCCAATGGTGACCTTTCACCGAAGCTATCACCCTTACTGCGTAGCCCTCAATCCCCAGACAAATAGGACCATTGAATACCAACGAACTGACAGAGCAATCAGCTCAGACACGCGGCTCTTATTCCCTTATTCTCCCTATCCTCGATGAACGGAGTGGTAGCAGCTGGACTCACTGCATCTGGATGCATAGTTTGTGGGTTAAGAAATGGACTGACCTGGATTGAATTGACCTACTGACCATCTTTGGATCAGTTTTAACAAAGTGCATAAACTGGACCGATTCCGGTGAGTTTTTGGAACTCAGAATGTTAGTTAAAGTCAGAAAAGCCCTACCATTTTGCAACCACGTTCACGGCAGTTTTCATTTGGCTCATGGAAAATCCGTCATCAGATTGAAGACTGGAGAAAGTTATCAGACCTTCCTAAACTATCGTGCTGTGAAATTGTACGAACAGTGCCGTTTCCTAATGGATGCACAGTTAATGGGACTGCTTGTTGTATCTATCAACCTGATACATAAACCTATGGGAAACTTTTACCGTTTCCTATGGAGCTGACAGATAAAGTCATCATCTCCGACACATTCACGGCCCATCTCAGAAAACGGAGAATGATTTACATGCGAATGAACAGGATAAACTCTCATGATAAGGCTTTTTTTCTCCATCCAGGTGCCGTCAATCTATAAACCATGATCATCGAAGTCCTACTTAGAAACTCGATGGAGTGCCGCTTCTGATGGACTGAAATGATCTTCCCTACCAGAACATGGCGAATAACGAGTTTGAGGATCTCGTGTCTTACCTACCAGATGGCTATCGGGTCACTACGATGTGAACACCCATTGGTGTGCAGGTATACGTCCAGTAGTCCATGTTAGTGGTCGAAGCAGAGGAACACAGCTGTGTTTAGTCTAAAATACTGACCTAGTATGCTATAGTCATTTGGTTTCGGGATCATAGGGTGCTAAGATCAACCACGAAAATAGATTTTGTTTGCGCTGTACTCTTATGATGTTTTCGTGTAGATTTTTGTGGTTGGAATAAGTCGTCTTTACTCGGCTTGAGAAGGTGGGTGTTACATTTCACTATAATAGCATCGGTGGGACTCAGACAGCTTGGATCAAATGGTTTATTGTCCTTAAAACTTGTTTTTCTATTTCTAGGTGCTTATATTATCTTCCTTTGAACGGTTTTCTCTTTGTGAGACCGTAAGGAGGGAAATTGAAGCTATGATAGCTTCTTAATCCAGACCACGTTTTCCCGTCTTTTCAAGTCGTCACATTGTATTAGTACTGCATTTTACCCAAAACAAAAAGACTCCACGACTGATGTCTGACAGCTAAAATAGAACAGTGTGTTGATGTGCAGGGTGTACATGTTGACATAATGGCCCTAAGACCACTCCTAATTTCCATACATCATCATCATCGTTGTCAGCTTTAAGAGCCGCGTACTTGTCGTGCAGTGGTTGTAGTTGCCACAATTCCGTTCACCGAGGATTCGGGGAGGTAGGGTAGGTAGCTGCGCATTGGAGCTGATAAATTAGTTTCAATGGACTGTCACGTGGGGGAATTGGGGAGGAAGCTATTCAATGAATGCAAGAGCTTGGATGCACGAGCGTCATTGAGGGCACGACTGGGCCATGTCTGACAATGTGGCCCGTCTCGGGGTCCCCATCCAAGAAGACGGCAATGACCAACGCAGCTGAGTTTGCCTTTATACTTCGCTGCCAAGTCANCCTCTGGCTCTCTTCCACCCTTCACGTGGTTGTGCGAAGAGAGCCCTTCGAGGAACTGGTTGACTGGCTTACGCAGCACGTGGCCAAGCCAACGCAACCGATGCAGTGTGATCAGTTCACCTACCGAGGGTGAGTTATTTCTTCCAAATAACATTCAGCATTGCTGATCCGGTGTTCCAACCAGACTCGGGCAATGCTCCGAAGACATCGATGATTAAACACTGAGGGTCTAAGCTCGACCCTTGACGGATAAGCTGATGTCACGCCTACGCCATAGGTAACGCAGGTTCACAAAAGCTGTTCTGGCCTTCCCAATCCGGATGTAAATATCTTTCGGCAGACTACTGGGACTGATACAGCTGCCCAGGTAAACAAATTTGTCCACTACCTCAATCGATTCATCCGAAAGCATGAAGCCAGGGTAGAGCCCACCCAGTTTTGCAGTAGCACTTTACACTTTGCAGGTGTGAAGCGCATGCCAAACCGTGAGGCGGAATAATTTAGATCATTTAATACGCCTGTAGGATGGGCTTGTAAAAGTTGTTCCCATATCACTTTCCAACTACTTTTCATTCGACAACGAAAGGTGTTAAATGAGTGTTCAAGTCAATTGAGCTGTTCTCTCTCTCATTATCTCTCTTTATTCGACCTACGCTCAGTACGTCGGCGATGTCTTCGCTTCTTTTGCTTTTCGCCATCCTCGAGGGAATGTGTGGATTTGCGTTGCCCATTTGTAGCGTCTTCAGTAAACCTGCTGGATCACATGGACGCTATTACTATGAAGTAAGTTATCGTTTTGTATCTGTTTTTGCCAACTATATCATACCAGTTTCTTTTTGCGCCCACCAACCAGTGACCTAGGCTCCGGTTCCCAGGCTGTCTCGTGACCGCAACCAACTGATTGGCTGATTTTGCATGCCGCCAGCGCAGGAAGAGTCATCTGTCACGTGTCAGAGCACGCACTGCACGTCCGTAACTGTCGTTCCCCAAGCCAGATGGACTGCATGTTAGTGTTCGATTGTTGCACGAGTGTATCATTCTCAGAGCTTAAAATGTAGACAGTCTGCAATTATCGATCGACAGGCTATGACAGCGTCGCTGATCGTTGTATTCCTCTACCACTCCAGTCATCCCACTTACTTATCGTGCGTAGTCGACAGTGCTTTATGGCCTGAATTAACAGGCGGTCCTGAGGGAAACGAGGAGCCACAGATGAAATTTTACAAGTGAATTGAACTGAATCGGTGTACTCAAGGTCTCTCTGCACAGTTTGCACGTATCGTAGCTCCTTTCGAACCATTGATCGCACCACTAGGACAGGCTTAAGATCCACAGGTTGCAATCTATTGTAGCTCCGCAAAAACACTGAAAAATCCTTAACTGTACGAATGACTGTGGTAGACTAACTAGCTGTTCTACGTCTCACAATAGTTCCAATAAATCATATTCCTTATACCTTCCCCACCTACAGAATTTTCTCTTCTTCCAATATGGTCTTTCAATCTTGGCTTTGTGTTACCTGCAAGCCCTTATATTCTACTATGATCAGAAAGCAAACTATTGCCAGAAATACAATCGAAGGTTTGTCCAGCACCAAGCCAGGCTAGATGAGGTCTGGCCATGTCACCTGAAAACTGCGCCAGAGTATTTGGCGAACAATATTGATCAAAACCCCCCGGGACTTGCACTAGAATACGAAGTATTAACGACCACGGAACAGTGGAACAAACCGTCCACACCGGAGACATCGGAGCCCTCCATACTTCAAGGTAGGTGTGCTCTTCATTCAAAGAACGGTTTTTTGAAACTAGTGCTTCTCCAACAAATGGTCACCAAGGGAAAGGATTACTTGGCCTCCTCTTTTGGGTCACACTATTCATAGAGACTGCCCGTTTAGGGTGAGTGATAGTAAACACTCTGTCGACTCTCTTCAGAAAGGGTTTTGTTGGACCAAAAAATGACACACGGACATTCCATGGAGACTTTTTCGGACGGATAGTTCAGGCGTTCTTCAAAGTAACTTATTAAACGGTAGAACAAAGTACGTTATACTGAGGTGTTTAAACCTCTGTATGGTCCAGTCTCGGCGAAGCCAAAATATGGCTTCTCGCCGGTACTGAGTTACACTCAATTACTTCGTGATCATGCAGCAACTGTTTTCACAGCAATTCAATAAAAGAGTTAACATCTTGAGTACAATGAATGAAAATTCCCGTAAAACACCTTGAAGCCTGCTTAAAATTCACACCTGTGGTGATATGGGCTAAAATTCTGGCCCAGAGAACAGCAAACTTGTGCTGAAAATCTTTCACCGTACCTACTGATATCACTTTGTGCGTGAAAACATGTTAGACGATGAAAAAGCGGGACAACCGTCTGCGTTTATGGATAAGCAAATGCACCGAGGAATTCTCACAACGAAATTGTTTGAGACGCTACCATAGAATACTCATGTACTGATTACTCATACTAATGGACAATATCTCAAATGTCAATAGAGCCAACACATAAAATCATGAATAATCTTTGATGAAGTTAGTAAATACTACTGCGTCTAAGGTTATTTCGGACTGCTGTTTCTTATGAAGTTAGTCAAGCTCTTGATGACAAGTCCGGTACAATATTCCGCACCAGGCAACACGTTTGGGCGATTTCATCGTACTTCATTGACGGACTGTTGACAAATAGGAAGTGTAGCTTTAGTTGGGTGGAAGTGCTAGTACGTTGTCTGAGGTAAATGTTTTGGATATCCAATAATCGTGTTTCGCTACCGTCTTCCACACATACTATGCTGAAGCTATACGGTGTTCTTCAGCGCCGTCATTATGGAATAGTGTATTTGTTGTCACCTGTTGAGCGGTCGTGCAACTCGGTATCCCCTGGCTTCATGCTCCGCTCACTATGATATATCAAGAGGCACGGTAGCTTCAGACAGCCCTTTGTGGAGACAAAGGCGAACCATTACAACTGTATATATAGAGTAATCACAGTATGTTCCACAAGGTCGTACTATAATATCCATGAGGGGGCGAGGAGTATCGAGCTAAAGATACTCGATCCGGATTGGCTAGCATTCCGACCAATCAGGGCATGCCTTTGTTTGGCCCCAGCCTGCACGTGACACATCCGATGTTCGCTTATTAGGGACGGCAGGCCTCCGGACAGTACTTCACTAAGCCGACGATAAAAATAACGACTAAGCAAGATAAACTATCACGAACCTATATTTAAAAAAACGAAAACAATGGTGATGATTTGAAATCCGAGAAATACTTATTGTGCCGCACTTTATCCTTTCCTTTAACTGTATTAGCCTCAATGAGTGTTTTGACGTGAGTGTGTTTCGACCTACGGTGATTTGTTCGTACTCCAGGCTGAGTTGTATGATTTCCATTCAAATGAACTTCACTCAAATCGCCTATGAAGTGCTAGTCAACCATATGATATTCATCCATTGGGATATTTCCTATTGTTGTGTAAGCTAGCCACTTAAGGAACTAGAAAACATCCTTTCTGCGGTTCTGGAGGTTGTTTTCTCAAGGTGAAGACCATAATAGTTAATTATGTGCCTGCAAAATGGTCTGTTTGATGAGGATGCTTCTTCTTACGGGGCTTGTGTGAGTAGTCTGTGTGATTTCGGAACCCCCGGAACCAAAAACGAAGGCTAATAACTGAAGGACCATTGTACTCGAGAATTCTCAGTCCATGAGTTATTATAAGATCTTTCGTGAACTTCCAGTATTGGTTGTTATCTACTACCACAAAGAGTACTTCAAGTAACATAACCGAGTAACACAAGGAGTAATCTTTGGGGCATCAGCCAAATGTTCCAATGAATAGAAGGGGGAATTTAGTGTGGACTGTCTGATACGCACATTGGGAAGCACGTGCAGAAGGGACACTGAATAGTGTGTGCAAGGAGTAATGAATAGAATAGAAGGGGGAATTTAGTGTGGACTATCTGATACGCACATGCTGATATGCATGTGCTTCCCACGTGCAGAAGGGACATTGAATAGTGTGTTAAACATGACCGTCTGTACTGCTGCGGATGTACTTCGTACACTTTTTTTCGCGACCTGATACACAAATGTTCGTTGAAAGACGTCTCGAAAGAGGGACCGAAGCAGTGCTCTACGGCTCGTCAAGCTATCGGTACAGATTGTCCAGGGTATGGACAGCGAATATATCATCCTGGACACAGATTGGTTAAGTAGTTTCTTGATCTATACAACACATTATGTAGACAGATTGATCGATATGAATGACTAATTTGTCAATAAATGTTTTCCATTCATTCATCAGCTACACTCACGGATAAGCCCGAAACCTCCCACCGACCAAGTTCAAAAGTACCAACGACCAGAGTGAGTCTTGTTCACCATATGACACTATCTAAAGATACTAGCAAGGATGCAATTTGCACTGGTTCACAAAAGGCCTCTGTTGCATGTCAGTGTAGAATAAAGTTGGGAAGTGAAGAAAGAACTGAGACAAGTGAGAAGTACATGCACCGTTATTCTTCTGTACCGATCACATAACTCAGAGTATGTGACTGCTTCAGAAAGAGGAGAGACACTTTTATTCAAAATTTTAGGTATTGAGATCGATGGTCTCGTCTTTTGAAAGCAACAGAACTCCAGGAACAGGAGCACCATTTTTTCACCATGCCAAGACACAATCGATCGTGCGCTGAGCAGTGGATCACGTTCGTATGAGTATTTGTGTGACGTCACCATGATCCTAGAGAAGAGTCCAGGAGAGATTGCCAATACCCAAACTGAGCTCCATTAGTGCCGATTTTCAGACTTTTTAGAAGAAACAGTTGGTAAAAGTATTCACAGATCGTTCATTCCTGCCGTTGAATGCACTGCTTTATGGGAAGATAAGCGAACCACTAACTTTGTCTCTAGTTGATGCATCAGAACGAGATAAGTTTGACGATGGTGTGTGATAGTCGCTGGCGCTGGACTTGCCGTGTCCATTCCTCCCTTAATTTTTGCCTACTTGTAAGTAGTGTAATTTATACATATTACCGTTTCGAGCTTTGTGAGAGAGGACGGCCTTTTACCAGCTAGGCAGTCGACGGTGCATTTCTAGTTGAAAGTTAACTGGTACCAACAAACTAAACGGATGCTGTTTGGAGCGAAAGCCAAGAAACCTGCTATAGTGACATTTAAAATATGTACTTCTTGTTTCTGGTATAAGTGATATAATGTGAGCTGTAGAGACTGAGCAGCATTCTTTGCTGAACTCGGGAAATCAATAACAGAAATACACAGAGGATTGCGACGGAGGACTGGAAGCTTTTGAAACGTGGGGTAGAAAATAGATCATGACTACTCAATCCGAAATGCTTACGATATGTGGGCGAAACTTAAACACAGAAAAAGCCCGACTTATTTCTGAAATATTCTTTACAGTCTAAACGGAAAATACCCTCTGGAAAGTGCTAAGCACACGCATCGATGAAAAAGGAACTCTAAAATCTCCCGAAATACTGAAAACACATTTGGTAGACAACGAAGACCGCCAGAAGATTGCAGGTTAGATCAGAAAGGATAATAAAGTCTAAAAAAAGTTACTTAAGGACACATCGACTCCCGTTTTCATTACTTGAAGGTGTCCTGGGAGCAAATTCAGCGTGAATCCAAATCATTTCAAAGATGGTGTGAGGGCGATTTTACCGTCTGTTGATATGAAACGGCGGTGTCCCAAGGGATGGAAACTTCTGGTACGTGCGCAACATCGTGTGCTTCTCGTAATCCCAGCCGCTCTCACAGTTATCGGGAGGCCCGATGATTAGTTTGCATAAACTTACGCACGTACACGCACACATACATACGCACGCAAGCATGAGTGCCTGCATGCACGCACTTTCTATTCAGAATTCAGTGCATAAATGAATCCACTCGTCACTTTTGATTTTGCTGGGTGTATAGTAGATGGATCAAAAGCAAGCGTCACTTGAGTATTTCGAATAACTGACGCAAACAAGGTAGCCGACCTAGAAACCCGTTTGCCTAGCGAACAAGGACCAGTGCATGACCCATGCCATTTGAGTAGGCCAGCCAAACAGTTTTTGTCACGCTAAAGAGGGATAAAAGTGGTTTTCATTGCTGCCATTTACCGGCTAGCAGTAACAAGCAGTTAACCGATTAGTCGATTTAGCAGCTATAAACTGTGTACCGTTCCAGTTGCTGAAGTTTCCATCAGAGGGAAGTGCGAGAGCCTGGGGCATACGGCCAAGACTTGGGGGTGATGGGTTGTTTGGTTAGTCCGGGAACTGGAGAAGTTGCGCACTCAAGACGATAGCTTTGATAGGCAAGCTCCGCTGACTGCGCGATTGGGCCATTCCTACCAGTATCATTAACCATTGGCGAGTTGAGTCCGGGGGTCTCCATCCAGGGAGGCGGCTGCTGTTTACCCCACTAAGTTTAATGATTAGTGTTCATACTGCTTAGGGATCATACACTCAGACGCTTCCACTCAGCACACGGCTGAGCGAAAAGAACTCTGCATGCAGACGGCTTTCTGGCATGCTGAGTACATGTCCTAACCAGCGTAAACTGTGTAGGGCGAATAATTCGTCTATCGCGGGAGAGTTCCTTCTTCCTAAGACCATCTGGCGTACCTCAGTATTACTGATCCGATGTTCCCACCAGACCAGACGAATGTTTCGGAGACACTGATGTTCAAACACTGACATTTTTCGTATGTCTTCTGCGCGTAGAGGCCGCATCTTTGATCCATAAAGCAGTATACACCGCACTACCGCAGTGTACACTCTACCCTTGACAGACAAACTCAAGTCACGTCGGCGCCCTAGGTGTCAAAGGTTGACAGAAGCTTCCCTGGCTTTTCCGATTAGAGCAATAATCTTATCTCCAGCCACTCCAATAACACCTATACAGCTGCCCACGTAAATAAAATCGAATGACTCGTCTGCTTACACGAGGTTTGAGTTTGATCCCACATAGTCTTGTACTAGCGCTTTACACTTTGCAGGTATGAAGCGTATGAGAAATCGTGCGGCAGATTTATTTAGATTATTTAGAATGGATTCCATTTTTGAAGAATCTGAACCAAAGAGAGCATTATCGTCTACATACCATGTCTGTGAGCGAACGTCCTGGGGGAATTTTGACCATCAAGGTTTCAGAGGCAGGCAGAGAACATTCAAGCACCACACCAATTAAAAGTTGGAGAGGAAAGGTGAGAGAAGTCAGCTCTTGTCTTAAACCAGTGGACTTGGTGAACCCGGGCGAAAGCTTGTCGAACACTTGTACGCGCCCAGAAGAGTTTGCATACAGTGCCTTCACAAGGGATGTTAGTTCGGAAGGGGCACATTTGATCACCAGACACGGCCAAAGTTTCTGACGATCAAAAGACTCACAAGCAGCTTTCAGGTCAAGAAAAACGACCAACTTGAGACGTTTCAAGGAGCGGCGTTTTTCCGGAATTTGTCTCGAGGTAAAGATATGGTCGATTCACCCTCAGACAGGATAACAACCCAGCTTGATTCCCACGAAATTGTCTCTCCCGATAATCGACCCAAGTGCGCAAAATAATTCCAGAGCACATCTTAGATGTGAAGAATACAAGGAGGATAACACGACGGCTTTCACATAACATTCTTGCACCCTTTCTGAAAGCTGGGATGACGGTCGGGGAGCTCCAGCCGGCTCCAAATCTCCTGCAGTATGGATGTCAGACTGTTCACCAGTACCTCACCACCTTCTTCTATCCAAGCCAGGTGCCTTGTCACGTTGGATGATTGATATTCCACGCTGGATTTCTGTTGTTCATGGTGGGTTGGTGTCGACGTTCCATTCAAACTCTCCAAGTTCTTCCGTTTGTTGCGTTGAAGGAGACCAGCTAAACTGTTCTCTGAGGTGTTCAAAACAACGACTGAGGGAGTGAATTGCCGTTCCGTCTTTCTTCCATGGGGCAGGTTCAGTAAACGGTACGCGATCGCGCCAACCTGATGAGCCCCAAGAAGGGCGAAACCGGTCGTGGGCTGTCGATGGATTTTCAGCAACCTTATGAGTAGTACATTACAAAGGTCACTGTGCACTTCGCACACAGACACATGCCAATGCACAAGTGTCGGATGGGACGGCCTTTGCGACAAGGCGATTGGCAGGTACGAAGAGCGGAACGAGCAGAGTTTAAAAGTACAAAGGTGAAGTAAGCACTTGAATGGGGGAATCGTCATAAGGTCAAGCTAGGGGCCCATTAGCCGCATACTGCTCTCAGCTACAGAACCTTTACGAGTGGAGTATAAATTTTGCGCCAAAATGTTCCGATTTGTTACATAAGTGCTCAGACCAGAAGCCATTCTAATCTACATACATATTTTTGCAGCTCACCAAATTTCATTGTCCACTGAAGCAATAAGATCTCTTGCGCAAAAGTCTGGTGGAATAATCTCCCAGCAACGCTGGGGCCCCGGGATACCTAAATGAGGCTCAAAAGTTTGGACTCGTACTCTGAACTCAACTGCCTGTCTCTTGACATTTTCCCGAACAGCTTACACTTTTCGGTCGCATGACATTTGATGTTCTTCACCCGACATTCTTGAGTTATTGTCCGGCGGGTTCGTGATCGGAGCTTGATCTTGGCCATCCATATTGCCGTTGTTCTGTTTTTAGTTATCTTTCATTCCAAAGGTTACCTTTCACAGTTGGCCAGGATCCAGAGTGGGTTCCTTGTCATCAGTTCACGAAAACCAATGTGCCCATCGACTACCTTCAACCATCTGCTTTCAAAAACATAATTTTTGGTACAGATTATTCCGGCTTTCACGTGCCACTGTCCACTTACTGCTTTCCCATCTGTTCCATCTTGGCTAGCAAATCAGCTGGTAATATACACCAATTTCCAAAACAATTTGGTTGTAAAGGGGGGCCTAACGGAATATCAGCTAGAATTCTCGTTTTTAGCACTCCTCAACCGCAAGAGGGCTGCATCAAGCTTCAGTTAACACGATATTTAAGAGTGCGCGATAAATTTTCTTCACGAAACACACTACTCAAAGTGTATTCAGCAACCCTACGAGTGGGGTATCCTGACAAGGAAATCCATGCTCGTATTTGGGATAACCTCTTAGAGCGAAGACGTAGAATTTAACAACATGCACCAGTTTACCTTTGCTAACTTACACTTACTGTGGACGGGAAAGTGTCTATGCCTTGATGTTGTCAAAGTAAGCACTACTGTTAAATTTAAATGTAATAAATATTTCGCATAATCTACAGGTTCAGAACTTCAGTGCGAATTCCCATCAAATCTTCCTGATTATTTGGTATGACAGTTGTTGCGTATATTTGTTTTGACGATTAGTTTGTGTACGAAAAAATATCTTTGTAGAAACATGAGTAAAAACCACTTACTACTTTATCACCAGTATCCGCGATTCGCCCATTCCGTGCCACACCTGACTTTCGTGCTGCCAGAAGACAGTGTCACTGATACCAGAGAATCAACTGGAACCAACGCAATCGACCGAAACAACACAGGTGAACTGGAAATTCATTCTGTTGAACACATACCTGAAACATCTGATGCATTTCCACAACAGTTCGAATGCGCTGATCGTGAAACCCCGGTAGAATACGGTAGATTTTGTGATCAAAATGTAATCAAAGGGGATAAATCGCAAGCCTTGGAAGTGGAGCAGGGAGCAAGGTCGGACAATTCGATCGCTGATGATGACAGTACTTGTGAGCATCTACACGTACCTGAAGTCCCATCTAACTCCAAGATACCTACTGTACGGAATTTTCGACAGAAACTCTCCAGTGTATTACCACTGCAAGTACTTTTTGGCGACGATCCTCAGAAAAGCCGTCCTCCAGGGTGGTACTTTTCTCGTGACACAGAAGGAGTCAATCTGTATCTCCGTCTGGGAGCTGTGGGTGAGTGAATGCAAAGAAGAGTAAATATCCACACTTGTTACGTCCGTGACCCTAAATAAAGTTAGTCTCCTTGAAATGGTCACTTTTGATTGGTTGTCGATAACTGGTCCGGCTAAAACATTGCTATCGATAAGTTTAAACTCTTCTTCAACGACTTTGTATGATCACCTGCTATCGACTTGGTAGGAACTATAGAAGAAGTTGGCAAACCATTCTCGATATGTGACCAGAGATGTCAAAATGCTGACCAATGTCGTTGAGAGCATTTCCATTGAACTGTTATCCGTGTGTACTTAGCTTGTTCCCAACTGTCACAAAACTCCATTCAAATTCTTTCAAACATATTAGTACCAGAAAAAGTAAACATTCAAATCCAGGACAAGCAACGACAGGTGTTTTGTTGAATGTATGATCCGCTTGTCTGCAGTCAACCAAGGTGTGCATAATTATCCACATAGCCCAACTACCTGACGGACTTACAAGCTGGGTAGCACAATCCTACTTATTGAGAAGACCAGCAATCCCTTCTTGGTCGAACTAACACGCATTAAACCTTTGCCAAAACATGGAGCATCAGGATGTCGAAAGCAAGTTGATCGCCGGGGGAATCACATCGGTACGATCAGTTACTTGTGTTTACACAGTTTTGCTTCTCAACTTCTGTTGGCAATAGATTCGGTAAAACGTAGCACTATACTGCCCACGGTCATGTACGTGGCTGCTGGACTGACATAACGCTAACTTTCAAATAGATAAAGGACTATCGATCAAGTCGGCATCGACCGTGCACTTGTCCCAGGATTTGAATTTGTATCTGAGCCTAGTGGATCGGACCGACTTATATGTTGCTGTGTCCGAATCGTTATGTTTTCCGTCTGTCACTCAGTTCTGCCAATGCGAAAGGCCGGGTACCCACCCGCAAAGCGATAAGTTAGATTGGAGATGGTATACTGCGATCGCGGGACACCGAATGCATTTCAATGCTATCCATACATACATAAAGTAGGATAGGACCAAGGGGGCTTCCCATGGTGAGACTTTTATCTGCTTGCAACGTTCACATTGGACGCTGAAAGAATGTCACTTGCGCTCCAAGTTTTCCATCGTTGTTGTAGACAAAATCACAAGTTTTACGGTTTCAGATGGAGGCACATTTATGAACAAATTTGTGATGTCCAAACTTGCAAGGTGCTCACCTTTAACATTCAGCTACGCAGCCAGAGCTATCTGTTCGAATCTAACCCTCGGTGCATGGGCCATCAGCCGACCTCACAGTATCTTCCGTGTATGTGTCTACCACTTGACTAGTTTGTGCTCGAAGGAGTTTGCCATTGCTAGGATTGGTCTGAGCGTCTGGCTTGTGTAGTTTGAGGGCCAGCAACTGTGTGCTCGTCGATCTCAAAACGTTAGCAGTGTTTGATGCAACAAATCTATCCTTCAATGTGTGTAACTCTTGGGGCAACTTTCTTTCCAGCGCAAATGAGCTGTCTCCAACAACCGCCCGGTATGTTCAGGCAAGACGTTCATAAGCCCACAATGTGACGACCGCATGGCTTAAAATGATGTCTACTTCGAGTAAACCGATGATTTGGTTTACTGAGAGGTAACCTCCCAGATTAGCATGGTTCACCGCGATTCGGTCTATGGGGCGGTGATTTTAGCGAAAGTTGGTGGACAGTTTTATGATCTAACCGGACGTTGACCGTAATTTTACGATGACTACTTTCATCACTCTTCAGAATCATAAAAGCGTCGGTAAAAAATGGGCCTATCTCTCGGTCGAAAGATCAGCACAGGAAGCGCATTCAGACCAATGAAAACGCATGATTAGGTTGCCATGTACTTCCCTTTACTTTTTCTCAATTTATCCAAACTGGACCATTACACCTAGTATTCTAGTAAAGCCACAATGATTACATTACATTTTATTCATCACACTATGGTCCAGCAGGTTTCAAGCCTCCGTCGAGTTACCTGAATGGGAAGTCCTGGCAAGTGGGTCACACAATCGACACAAGCAGAACACTTGCTGAGTGGTCGCCTGAGGAGTTAAACAAACCAGCCTATCGCTCAAAATGTGAACACGTTCGCCTTTTCAGGTGCTCCCAGCGTGCACCGGTGGAGTAGTGGTAGCACGCTCGCCTCGCGTATCTGATAGTTGGAGTTTAAATCCCGACACAGACAAAGATATGCACTGCTGAAGAACTCCAATAAGGGCAAAACTCGAGCCCAGTGCTTCAACCCGTGGTATGGACTCACCAAAACGATAGGGCCAGGACAGGGGGAGCACTGTTCAAAACAGAGTGACGTGAACGTCAACTCTACAGCTACCTGCACTTGGTTTAAGAAAGTGACCGATTACTTGGCCAAATGCAGGGTGTTAATCTTAGAAATTGCACGAGTAGCGAGTCTAGGGAACAAATTCACTCAATACCGTAACCTACTTCATCTAGGTGAACTAGTGCTTCACATGAAACGGAACGAGAGCTAGCACTTGAAAGAAAATGCAACTTGTTGCTCAGAGTGGTTTTTTAATCGTATCATGGTTACACACAAACAGTATGAAGCAATGTAGTGATGATCTCAATACATAGACTTGGCACTTGATTCCTTGTTTGGCTTCCCGTGAACTTTCTCGTTGTACCAAGTAGCGATTAGTTGGCTTCTGAGATAGCTGATTACTGGTGTTTCTGTTTAAGCTCTTCAATCACCTCGAGGTTATGACCAGTAGGGTGAGTGAGTTCAATACAGTATGAACGAATGATGTCCTGGCAACAATCAGGATTACTTTCCCATCAACAACTCTCGACCAATTGAAACTCATCCAACGCATTCGTTTTACCCCTCAGGATTCGGATTTGGTGTGATGATCTTCGATGGGTTCAAGATCGCGGAACCCTGGGAAGCTCGGTTGAACGATCAGGACTCTTGTCACAATCACTTTTGGATACCAATACACATTTTACATTTTATCTATGTGTTCTGGCAGACCTATTTTCTTTTCAAACATCATCAGGTGAGTCGTTGGATAAGGTTTTCAACTATGGCGATGAGTTTCTCATGGATGTTGTTGAAAGTGCCCATCTCACAATCAGGTGACCTCTTCAGGGGATGAGGAAGTAGCTTCTTAAGTCCAGCGATCCCTGTTGGGTGCAGGGGGGGGGGGGTTGAAGGACGACCGATGTCATCCGTTTCACTTGTCTTCTGTAATTGACGAAGCATGGTCAAGTTAGTTGCAGACAGTCTTAATCATTTCGAGTTGACTAACAAGTAATGCCCACAGAAATCATTCTCTTGGGTAAGGCACATTCAGGATGTCTCGTATAAATTTCTTCAAACTACTGAATCTTGTACCTTACACTGCACGACAAGTCCTTATAACTCACCACCTTCCCAGAGGGCCTGATTCCGTACACCCTTCTTGATATCATCTAACATCAAGCAGGCGATTTCTCTGGCTTCAGTCAGCAGCACTACACAGATATGTCCGTCAATTGGTTTCAGTAGTCTTCAATGAGTCATCGTTCAGGAGCTTCCTGAAGTCACAGGTATTAATTAGTCGGCATTCCACGACCGAAAAGAGTGTTCCGAAGAGTAAATCGTGCTCCTGGTTCATTTATTTATCCACCATTCGTTCACTCGTGGGTTACCACTTAAAATCAGTCTCTTTATAATAGCTGAATAAACTAGTTCTTGAATTAGCGGTCGAACAATTGGGGCCCCATCCTCTATGAACGCCCTATCTTGGGTAAAAATGTACTTTTGTATTTCTAGTAACAGAGTCTTAAAGGATATGGGTAGGAAAAAGACACGCATAACTCACAGTACCACTACGCAACTAGTAAGCAAGATTCAGATGAACCTCGTCGCTGACAACTCCAGTGCTTTCGGTCCAGCCACACAGTCAAACAAAGCTGGACTTGCTGACATCGTCTTTGACACCATCCTGTTGTCAGTTGATGCATGCGATTGGTGTTTGCTTGTGTGTGGGAAGGTATTACCATGATGTAAACAGTAAGTATCAACTTATTTGTTCGTGACTAACTTCTAGGCTGCGAAGTCAGCTGGCTCACACAGTACAAGATTAGAAACCGATTCCAACACTGAATCTTCTGCTATGTTTCGTGTACGTTCTTATAGATTGTTCAACAGAAGCAATTGTTCATTTGCGTTTGTAACAATGATGTATCATCTCACTTTTCAGCAACACCTTTATAATATACCACTCCCTCTGTTCTCTTTATCAGGTTGTATTCAACGTTCAGAAGTTTGTGCTCCGTTTCCTACTATGTCATTTAGCCGTTGCCAATTTATGTCAGTGGTTAAAAACGGTCGTTGATGAAATCAGCGTTGAACCTCATGAGACAACAACCTCGACGCTCCCACTAACGCTGCATGAAACCACACACGAACTGAAGAACCTATCTCTACTACAAACAAGCAGTGTGTCCACAGTCCATACCACAACTGATCCGCATATGGCCACACATTCTCGATCAATAGGGCACGGTAAGTTGACTGGTTCCCGCGGTTTCCGATTGAGAACTCTCGTGATACTCTGTGTATCCATCCCAAAACCCACCCAGTCTCATCATCATCGCCAACAGCTTTCCGCTGCCTGTCAGCGCACTCATCCCCGCACCTACCAGACACTGATCAGCTGGTCAATGGTTGATGAGGCCGATAAGTTCCAATGTCGAACTCAGCCTAACTGTTTATAGTTGGTGCATATAACATGCTGATAAAGTGACCAGAATTCTTCATATGAAAGGTGCCATTTGGAGGTGGTCCGTAGGCGTGCGCCATTTTTATGTTGTCGTGATATTTCTACTATATATATATAATATATATAGGCCTTTCACCTTTGTTTGAACCGGCCCCTACTGCCATATAGTGTGAGCGATAGCCAGTAGCTGTGTGAATAACACGTCCTCAAGGATAACAGTTGTCCTTCCTACCGGCAAGCGTGACACATTCTGGGTGAAGGTGTTCATTTCTTCTGTGTGTTCATTAATTGGAATGCAGTAGTACAGATCCATAACGCGAGACAACATCAGACCAAAGCTCCTCGTTTGTTTGCCCAAGGGTTCGCTGTTTGAGTGGTGCACGCTTAGGAGAAGCAGCTTCCACAGTGAATCTCATAGCGACAAAATATAAAAGTGGATTTAGTATAGAAACCGTCTGTGAAATCCAAGAAGCTGCTATCCAAGTCGGTTTGGAAGTCGCGAGAGATGCGGCACAGAGAATAGGTCACTCATGAGAAGAATTCCTTGAACGTGTCCACTTCACCATTCCCCGGAATTTCTCAGCGTTTCCTATGATTTTGTCGTAGAGTATGCGGAATATAACCTGTGACCGTTACCCTTGAGCGCCCCCGAAGCTGATGTGCTTTATTTTGCAGATTCTGAAACGAGACCAAACTTTCTAAGCGGTGAAGAAACTCCACATTTTGTTACTAGTATCGTTTTACTAAGTGAATTCATATTTCATCCAAGGCCACCGCCATCGTCAATGGACCATATTTCGGCCAGTGAGGTTGCTTCATTAAGCCCACTGCGTCTGAATGTCAGAAATGGGGCCAATGCAGACATCAAACAAAACTCAATGAACCTCAAAGGTTATGCTAAGATGAGCAGTAAAAACGGGACGATTGCTGACATAGCATAACCGGTGGTCAACTGGTTTGCTAAAGCGTCGAATGGTGGAACGAGAACAATGCTTTGTAGGTGATTGTGTGCAAGGAAACAGAGAAACCCACTAGATGGGCGAGCTGGTGTGCACACCTTCCGTCCGTTTGAGATAGTGAAACCTCCTCGAACACGATGAGATGAGTCGCCAATCGTCTACTGAGGCATTATTTTGAATCCTAGGGAAAAATTCTCGCAAAATAGTTTACACAGAGTGGGATTTCATTCGGGTTAGTTCCAACAGTGCTCTTTTCACTGGCTAGACCCGGTAGTGAACTGATTAACTGCAGAGCCATCAAGGAAAGCATGGAGGAAGTAGCAAGCTACCTGAACTGTGAGAAAGCTGTGCAAGCATTACTGTACAGGGATATTGGCGGACATGCGGCGTTATAAATAGCAGGAATCACCAGAGCAATTCTAAACCTAATTCCCCTACACTCGGTGAACCACTGATGTGTCCAGCACCTGACAGGACGCGCCCAGACATGAAAAGAATCACATGTGCAGAGAGTGACGCATCCCCAAGGTCACCATCCGCACGACACGTTTCGGGTAGCAGGTGCGTTGGCGGAGCATTCCAAACACGGCTTAGTAACATAAGACCAGTGGAGTGGGGCGACCGGAACACCGCTATTGGCGACGATATTTAGCCATTCAGTCATCTTATATATATTTACGCAGAAGCTCTGTATGTGTTGTCCTGACAACACAGCCGTGTCCAGGGTTCCCGTCTTCTCCTTACCGCGTAGTCTGGCCGGTTCAGTGCAGTGTAACCCCAATAGACGGCCACCCATGATACGACAGACAACCTCCGGTGTCTACCTGTCGGGTCAAGTCCGAATGTGGTGTTGTCGATTTGTTGACACTATGCGTAGAATGACAATGGGAGATAACATCCAAGAGATACTCACCCTTGAGATCGCTTTTAGGGTGCAGTTGTTGATGGAGGAAACTTGTCTGAAATTTATAAACTAACGTCTGACTTACAACCAGGGCAAAACAACGTAATTATTCGTAATTAGTTTGATTTTTTATAGCGAACTAGTCATCTATCCTTATGATGGAGTGCGCACTTTGATAAACCTTAATTACCAAATCACTTATGACAGCAAACTGCTCGTCCATGTACCCATCACTCAAGTATGTTCCTTTGGCCAATGATGCCCCCGTTCTCGAACAGTTGATTGAACGATTTGATGTTGATATAGGTGATGTTTTAAGTCTTTACGGCTCTCGTATCCATTACTCCAATGTAACCTTTTGGAGTAAGTTTTACCGCAAGACGTTTTCGAGCCAGAGTTTCGTTTTCCAACCCTGATAGCAGAGTGAACCAAGCAAGCTGAATGAGTGAGTCTCATACCCAAACAGTAGAACCCACTGGGTCAATAGGGATTTTCATCTCGAGCAGGGAAGCCTCAGAAACCCATTCAACTATTCAGTATGTTCTACGACTTGACAGCTCGCACTTGTGACTCGTGAATCTCCATTCTGCGTCTCATGCAGATCGATCGCCAAACAACTCAGTGTGTAGAAATGGGTAAAAAACATCGTCTAAGTCTGCTAAGTTTATCATCAAACCCAAATTATTTCGAATCTATCGCGAGTTGTCGTATTTCGAAAGGGATGTAATGCACTACTCATAAGGTTGCTGAAAATCCATCCACAGCCCACGACCGGTTTCGCCCTACTTAGGGCTCATCAGGTAGGCGCAGTCCCCGGGTTTCCATCAACCTTATGTTCTACTTGAAACCAAATTGTACGAAATTAGCGAATATACACTCATCTGCAAACTAATTTGGTTCTTTCGAGAGACTCACCTGGAACCCAGCTGAATCTCTCTTTTATGATGTTCTCAGGCAACACAATGTGCTGCACCAGGCCGCCTCATGTTTCAGTCGCTACGATATTTGAAATATCGCGATACATGTATATTTGTAATGTACTCCTCATAACCAAATTAGTTTGCAGATGAGTGTTTATTCGCTAACACAAAGAGTTCTTTCAAAATCCAATCAGCGATATTTTCCGAAGATTCTTCTGATAATTAATTTCCTCACTAGTCTGGTCGCTAATCTTTGATTCGCTGTCGCCCAAAAAAGGCTTTCAAGAGTCCAAATTAGGAGCATCGCCTTGGCGTTTGTTTAGTGCACGTAGTGAAAATTTTGTGGCGTATCTTAATTTTCATTTGGAATCTGTTGTTATCAGTCGATTTGCGCCGCTCACTTGCTCGCCCCCCCCCCCCCAAGATATCAAACGCCCTGCGTACGGCTGACCGATTTTATGCGTCCACGCCAGGTGTGGTCGAGTCAACCATCATATCCACTGTCGTTGCCGTGGCTCACTGGCCCACACACATGTCACATGAACTTTTTGGCCCACCATGTACGCAACAGTAACAGTGGCGTTACTGTGTCCGACACTCATGTGATTCGATTGACTCTCGCCATGATTTCCGCCCACACAGGACCATCAGTGAACTTTTTGGCCCACCATATACGCAACGGTAACAGTGGCGTTACTGTGTCCGACGCTCATGTGATTCGATTGACTCTTGCCATGATTTCCGCCCACACAGGACCATCAGATAATGTGTTCTACGGCACTTCCGAATACTGGCTGTGCCCAAACGGTCTCTCTCTCTCTCTCGTAAAGATCAAAATTTCCTCTCAACTAGAAAAAAGCAGGGAAAACGCATCAAAGATTTAGTTACGTGGGTGTCGATACCGCAAAACGGGAAGAGGATTCATATCTTCAAGACGTCTTAACATCCGTCCCGCCCAAATGGAGCATTTCTGTCTTCCTATATCGATCAGAAACCTAAGTGCCGGTGTCCACTGTTATGCCATCATGCTTAGGTCGGCCGACTGCTTGCGCCAAGCCTCGGGGCCCATTAGACGCTCAATGCTCTCAGCTGAAAAACCTTTTCGTGAGGAGTAAAACTTTTTGCGCCAGAATGTTGCACAGCTGAAAAACCTTTTCGTGAAAAGTAAAACTTTTTACGCCAGAATGTTGCATTTCGTTGTGTGTGTGTGCTCAAACCAAAGACCATCATATTTGCGCAGCTCACCAAATTCCATTGTCCATTGAAGTAATAATATCTCTTGCGGAAAAAGCCTGGTGGAATACTTTCCCAGCATCGCTGGGACCCCGGGATGCCTAGATGGGAGTCAAAAGCTTGATCTGCTACTCTGAACTCAATTGCCTGTCTATTTTAATCCATCAGGAACACGCCATAGACTTCAAAAATTCCATTCCACTGTGCGACTACTGAGCGCCTCAAGCCCCTATACACACGCCACACGCTACCAAGGGCTTGCGTACAGCGCACCTTCGGCTCTGTGTAAACCTTCTGCACAGGAGTCCAGTGGTTTGAGCATTGTTAATAGGACAACCTGACCCGGGTGCAAGCCATGCATTCGATGAGGCTGAGAGATCACCTTAAGGTCATATTTTTTCGAGACTGAAACGTTTAAAGCAAATATCCATTCGCTCAGGTCGTACAAATGCATCAAGTCGATATTTCGCCCACGGTTGGTAAATTAACGACCTTTCAGGCAGGCGCAGGATACGAAATACTGAACTCGACCAGAGTCAAAAAGTTAGGACAAATCAAGAAAAATGGTTGCTCTGTGACAGTGTTCACTCGAACGTTCATTTACCGGGGTAAAAAGCCACTATCAAATTCATGCTGTTAAGCTAGCTGAAAGTACCGAGACAAGTTTTCACTTTTCTTTGTTCATCAGCCGTAAAGTATCACCCTCCTTAACTAAACTACGTTTCCATAGCGATTCACCCAATAGTCTAGCTCTATTCAATAATAACCCCGACTTTACTTAATTCTTTACCCCATCAGGTTGCCGATCCACTGCAAAATACCTGGCCCCGTTCCTCTTCCCATGCGCAATCGAATACAGTCTCATAGCTGGTGCCATGTTCTACAAAATGTTTCAAAAAGTTGGCCACGTGCGACAAGAGTCCGAACGTCTGGAACGAATTCGTCAAGCCAACAACGTTTCGGGTCATTTTGCCGAATGTCATCGCTCTCACAAAGGTTTATTTATCGGATTGCTGCTGTTCATGGTCACTTTGGTCAGCATGTGTTTGTTCTTCATATTTTTCACACGACTTGATAAGCGAAACACTGCAATCACACTGTACCAGTGTACTGAACTGGTTCTTCTCGGATTGAGCATGCTCACTTGTGTGTTTACAATGATTCGACTTCGTGTATTACACTTGAGCAACTTGTCTGAAGAGGGCGCGTTCGACGACAACCTCTTGCTCGTAGGTTTGGTGGGTATGATTTTCTACGACCTGTTCCTATTGGTGCCTGCATTGGAAGCCATTCCATCGGGGAAGATTGCCGCCAAGCTTTTTGCTGCGAAAGCCCTCATGGAAATCGCACAGTCTATGGTTCAGGTGAGTTCGAATCGTGTACGTTTTTTCTTAATTTGTCATTCAGGTGCAAAGGACGATTGTCAGTATGATTAAAACATTTGTATGAGCTTATAAGCTGGCGACCATCATCTTACAAGTTGGTCTACACAGGGGTTTAAAGGAGAAGAGGAAAACTGTACCAGCTTGCGGCGGTACTGCCCATAAGATTGCTGAAATCTCTTCTACAGCTGTTTCACTTCCCTTTGGGGTCCAGTCTCCGAGTTGAGTTAAACGCTCCCTTGCACACTGACTTGACGTTGACGGGGGGCTCAAACGGATATCAGCCGCGTCTCTCCTCAACCGAATCTGCTTACATAAAGACCGCCACATGTTTCGCGTCAGTCAAAGTATTTTGTCTGTTGGGACCCAAAACTACCGAGACCTAATAAACTGTGGTTTTAGGTTGATATTTTGAAAAAAACGCTGCAAATGGAACTTGAGATTTACTCAGTACACTCAGTTGAATTTTCACTGGAAGCTGGAGTCCAGCTGATACGCAGTTGAGTCTCCCGTTAAAAGCAAGTTAATCTGCAAATGTGTGTAAATCTTCTGTGAAATTGTTCTGAGCCTGTTGCGTTGCAGCTTATCACATATGCCTTCACCTAGATCTGTTTATTTTTCTACTGTGATTCTTTATCATATTAGACTATCAAGTTAGGCTTTCTAGATAGCTTTCCAAACGTACCAGAAAACTCACCTCTTTCTAGTGGTACCTGGAAGCACTGTGATCTCTTCTGGCCCAGGTTCGGTTTTTGATAGACCAGGGTTGGTTTTTGATGGACTCGATGTGGTCAAATGTTTCCCACCGTTAGTGAAATCGGCATTACAATGGGACAACCTAATGGGACAACGTAATGGACATTATAATGGGACAACGGACAACGTAATCGATTGTCCGTGCGCCTCTTGTCCTGATCACTCAGTTAGGCCTCAGCAGTGATAGGTCTACCTACATGCGCGTTCACGTCACCAGTGACCACGACGATATCGTAGTCTTTCGCTTCTTGTAAAGGGACACCTAGGCCTTCACAGAAGCCGTCTTCGGGAGATTATTCGCACCAACCCTCTGGGGGTGTAAGCAGGTATACTAAACAGGATGCGGTGAACCCCTTTTCCAAGATTCTTTCACAAACTTTGCCGAACGATCCGTGCAGAGGTGACCGGCAGTGATTATTCAATCAACTGAGGACGTTACCACTTTCTGCCTCGTCCTTTCGCGGAGGAAAACGGTGGGAGTGACTGGCTAGTGTGTTCACTTACAATACTTGCGTACTAAATTCTTGTTTGTGACGGGAAGTCCAGATCAGTATAAGGCAGTCCAGCATATGGGCAAGCGCGGCTTTTTGTCCTGCTTGTTTCAGTGTGTAGACATCATAGGCGGTTAAATGAGCCAGCTTTCAGGGTTACAAAGTTGAGTAACACGTGTGAGGCTGTTTACGAAGACCAGCATGCAGATGTTGCTGCGAAGTTGAACAAGCCTGCTGCTCTGAGTACTGGAATCCGCATTAAAACGGGTGTGACAGGGCAAGGAAGGACTACATGAAAGCATAAGGAGGGTGGGGTGGGGGTCGGTCGTAGCACATTTCTCCTGCTCGCCCTGCTGTATGCAGCGAGTAAGGCGACCAGGCTGATGGTAGCACGCAAGGGCTGACATGGCATCACTTTTGGTTGTCTGGTTCATGGCTGCATGCGCGATGGCACTGTGAACTCACGTATAAGAAACCACGCATGAAAAATGAATCATGGGCGGTTAATTACGGATTGTCATATTAAAGTGGATAAAAGCGAATTCTCTACTCCTTGTCACTAGTTAGAACCTTTACGAAGGTACTCACTTCTTCGTTTTCTGCAGGTATTCTTCATCCTCGAGGGGTCACGAAGGTGCGCAGGGAGTGTGGCACATGTCCATAACAAACCAGGACGTACTCTGATCACATTTCTCCTCATTCTAAATCTCGCCATGTGGTTCGTCAACACATTCGAAGTCAAGCGGGCGGATAACCACAGCATCCACATAGATTATTACACAGGGATGGCGTGGAAGATCATCACACACATTTCTCTGCCAATGATTGTGTTTTTTCGATTTCATTCCACTGTCTGCCTGTCGGATATCTGGGCCAACGCGTACAGGTTTCGAGCAAGCTAGCGGTTCACCGGCCGATCCAACCCCGATTGGCTCTTCTTTAATTCACCAATCATCTGTTTGTATGCGCATTTTCATTTTGATTGGTTAACTAGTTTGCGCACTAGTGTCTCTCAATTGTAAGATAAGTTGGCTGAAATATATATGGCTCGAGCAGTTGAGTCATATACCTGACCCACTCCCATGCGGGACGCGCCAAATTCATATACTTCCAAAGAAGGTGGATGGAATCTGTTGTATCTGACCAAAAGCAGTTCAATCTGAGTGTTTTCTTGATACAGTTTTAAAATACGCATCCTCTTAAATTACTAACTGGTTGTAACAGCAAAAAATCATCTTAAGGTGCGGGCCTTTCGTCAGTTAGGCTATTGCGGACATAAAGAAAGCGCCATTCATATTTCTCTCTATCAGAAGATAGAGCTGTCTTTTAAGGGTTTATGAACAAGCGGAATGACTGCACCCAAACTTGAAAATCCCATGTGTCCAGATGACTGGTATCACAAGAACTTTGAACTAGGAACGTTTTAGAAAAAACTGAGCTGGTGGATCACTACAGCGTCACATTTCACAGGAATCGAATTTATCAGGAGTAAATTTTCAAGCGGTTTGTTCCTAATTTTGTGTGTTTCTCCTGGTTTCCCCTTCAACCCAGGTAGGGTTGTTGAGTTCCAACCCTAACTCCATTCCTCTGGTAAAGTCCTTTTATCCTGGAGGTGGATATTCGTGGAGTACATGTTCTAGATTCGGTCGTTGGTTAGTCGCTGAACCAACGTTTTGAGATGGAGAGCGTGTGACAAATAATAGGGCTTGTTGTTGCCGTTTTCGGTCACGTTGGTAGAGGTCTCAGCTCTTTGCTGCTTCGAAACCTCTACATCCCGCTATCAAATGTTTGTCCTTCGAGTTCTTTCTTATATATATATATATGAATAGGACGATGAAAAGTGGC